AAAATTAAATTTTTAGTAAATTTTTGTACAAATTAAATAGTTATCAATTTCATGAAAATATGTTATTAAAATTAATTATTAACTTTAATTAGATTAAAATTTAAATTTCAATCTATAACAAACGTGATTTAAAAAAAGAAATAGAATTACAAAAGTTGGGAGGGGGGGCACCCCAGGACCCCCGTTGTGTCCGCCCATGACTATAGAGACAAAATGAAAATTTTGAATAATCTGTAACCATTTAAAAGGTTTGGGACCTGGTACAATTTTACCTTTTATAAGTGATTTGCTCATGCCGGGTGATTGGTGTGAAACCTTAAAACATACAATTACAAAATGGGGAATTTACAAAAATGGCTAATTCCGTCAATGCTTATCAATTGAGAAATGTCTAATTTTGATAACTCTTGTAAAAATGATCAAATTTGGTACCAAATTATCTATTATATGGTCAACGAAAAATGAAGCAAGATTTTTTTTTTTTTTTCAATTTATCATGAATTTCGAAAAGAATAAGTAACTTTCATGAAAAGTTACATTAATGCTAGCTAATACATAATGAATTCATTTGTTTTTATTATCTATCACGTTTTAACTAAAAATTTTGGGAAAAAATGATGAAGATGAAGTAGAAAAGTCATTAACACTAAAAAGTAATTATATGTTTCTAATTCATAAGAAAATCATATAATTTCATTTTAAAAAATTTAATCTCTTACAAATTTGCAGTTGATTAGGTTTTCCACAATTTTCGGTAAAATATAATTTTTCTTTGAAATCTTATTTTTGTTGATAAGTTGTGTTTAATAATTGTTATTCTTGACATTTCATGACGTCTCGACATTTTAAAAGCTATTAATGATATTTGGACCATGTTTATCTTGACATTTCATTTGTTTAGAATGAAATTTAGTTTTGAACATGAAAGTTTTCTAAATTTCATAATGTTCTCGACATTTTAATTGTACTTATCGATCTTTCATAACGGCTTTATTTACCCACTTACAGGGA